TAGACACACATCTTTAATCGCCTAGGGAACAATAGGGCTTAGATGTCCTACAACTCCCTGAAACATCTACAAAGTAGAAGTCATCATCTTTCTTACTAAAGTATTCCTTTTAACATCCTGATCTTTCTCGATGGGAAACTTAAATCATTGTTATCTCTTCTATTTTTATCTCCATCATCCTCATATCAAATCTCTGTCAAATTCTATACATTTTTACTTCTGTAGTCTTTAATATAGTTCCATTTAATTCCAGTTTTTATTATCCTAATTTGAGCTTTCTTTATTGCCTGGGACATTTACATAATTCAATGAATAGCTTCCTACTTCAGCCTTTCCTTCCCTAATAATTTTGAAAATCATGACAGATTAAACTTTTTAAAACACACCCCTCATAATGATAGGCTACTCAAAAACTCTCAGTATTTCTGCATTACTAAGACCTGTGCACTTTTTTTTTTTAGTATATGTGCTGCCGAAGCGAGCACAGACCTGTGCACTTTAATACAGTAGCCACTAACCTGCTGTGGCTTTTGAGCCCTTGAAATGTGGTTATTAGAAAGTGAGACAGGCTGGAAGTGTAAAATGCACTGGGTTTTGAAAACAGTACAAAAAGATTAAGCAAAATATCTTTATACTAATTTTTATACAGGTTAAATGCTGAATTGGTAATATTATGGATGTGTTAGGTTAGAGAACATTATTAAAATTAATTTTACCTTTATTAAGTTATTAATAGAAATTTAAAATTACACATGTGGTTTACCTTATATTTCTTTGGACAGGTGATGGCCTAGACAAGTAAGCATACACTCAGCTTTTCATGCAAAATCCACTATAATTTCTCATGTTTCTTTCCCAACTGCTTTTCCATTATTTATATATATGTTGGTGTGAGTTTGTGTCTCTCCATTCAGTTCAGACAATTGGTATTCCCTGACCATACCCCCAATCTTTACCACTTTCATGCCTTTGCTCATGTGGTACACCCCTAATACAGCTCCCTGCCTTCCATTCCTGCCTATTAGGATTCTTTCATTATGGAATAACTAAAACCTAATACAAGAAAGCATAACCAAGAAGACATTTTATTGGCTGTGTAGCTGAAAAGTCTTGATGTCAGTTTGAGGAAACTACTGGAAGCTTGAATAATGTTATCAAGATGTGAGATTCTTTCTCATTCTATCTCAACCCCCTTCTACCCTGCTTCATCTCATACTTTCACCTCTCACTTCTGCTTTCCTTTGCGTTGGCTTCAACTTACTTTCAAGATCTCTCCATGCAGGAAACTCCTGTAGCTCCAAGTTTAACAGCCCTAAAAGAGAAAGCTCCTTTTCACTGCATGGGGTCTTATATCTTCAAGGTAATAACTATTATCTGACTGGTCAGGTTTGGGCCACATGCAAATCATGAAACAAGAATGGGGTCAACCTGACCCAAACCATAGAGTCTGAGGGTAGAAGATAGGTTATGCCTGGAGGAAAATCAAAGTGATGATACCAGAAGACGGGAAATGGTTTTAGAGCAGATGAAACTAACAGGTGTAACTGACATTATCAAAACTCTACAGTTCTTCAAAGTTTATCTCAAATGACTTTTCATAATTGAAACCTTCCACCTCCTAAATTGGATGTCGTTTCTCCCTTCTTTAATTTCCCAATCCATACTGTTTGTTCTTCTCCTGTGGCAATTGCCATATTTAAATTGCTTTATCTTTATTTCCGTGATCATATTTACTCTGTTTCCTCCAATCCTCGTTTTATAAAAGTACCCCTGATAAGGCCTTCATGAGCTATTGAGTGCATAACCGAAATCACACATATGTTGAATTGAATAGACTTGTTTGTTAACATTGAATCTTTTCAGGGAGGAAGTTCACGCACCTAAGGAAAAACTAGAACCATAAGCAATTAAAAGTCATTTACTATAGTTAATATCATTTCCTACAATAAACATTGTTACTTTTATAATACAAAAAAATATAAAAAACAAACTGCTCTTTTGCCTACAAATCTAGATAGGACATTTAAACATTAATCATACTATTAGGATTTAAAAGTAATTTCACATAATACCATCCCTTTCAATTTGCAACTTGAAAACAGAATACAGTGGTTCCATACTTAATTGACAGACAACGTTCACTCCTCCCTCTGCATGGTATAGTCTTATATTATTTACCAGTGTGTTTCCTTCCCAAAATAAATTCTATATGACCTTGAGGACAGTAGTGGTTTTTACTACACCTCTTACATCACCTAGTGCAGTGCTTTATACACAATAATAATGATAAAAATAACACACTAAAATCCATTATTTCATTTAAGACCAGTCTTACAAGTTGTATAATGTCATTCCTACTTGGTCCTCATTTTACAGATGATGAAAATGAGACTCTGAGAGACTAAGAAACTTGCCCAAGATTATACACAGAATAAGCAGCAAAGCCAGGATTTGAGCCCAAGCAGTTTGGTTCCAGAACCCACTCTGAACCAAGAAAAGTCGATATATGTGCTGGTCCTGGGTCAGTGTCTACCACACTCATTTCTTCTCTTTATCTGCTCTCCTCTACATTCTAAGGAATCTGATTCTTGGAGCCTGTGTTTCTCAAGCTTCTTTGTTAACCGGCTTCTCCTTGCAATGAGAGGCAGTAGAGGGATACTGGAAGATGAGAGAATGGGACAAAGCAGATTTGCCCCCTCTTTTTTGCCTTGGGCAGCATCTCCACTCCGGACTCTAGCTCCTGTCAGACCGTCGCGCCACGGCTCCAGCTTCTGCCATGTGGCCCTGGCATATCCTGGACCTTCTCCTTGTCCCTTCCAGCCCGGGGTCCAAAACTTCTTGCTAATCTTTGCCTCACTGACCTCTGTTTGGCTTGTCTCTCTTCCTAAATCTCTTTAACCAATCCTATGGATTAAATTCCCTGTTTCGAATATTGACATCTTCCACAAAACATCTCCTCAGGGAAATACTGCCCAGAAGAACGCCTGCTGGGTTTTAGACCCAAACTTCAGGCTTTATGACTCTCAATACAATGTCTTTTGATTGATATTTATAAATATATTTGTATTTATGTCCCAAGCCTCTATAGACCATTTTATTTTATTATTTTTATTTTTTTTAAAGATTTTATTTATTGATTTGAGAGAGAGAGAATGAGAGATAGAAAGCACGAGAGGGAAAGAGGGTCAGAGGGAGAAGCAGACTCCCTGCTGAGCAGGAAGCCCGATGCGGGACTCGATCCCGGGACTCCAGGATCATGACCTGAGCCGAAGGCATTCGCTTAACCAATTGAGCCACCCAGGCGCCCCTAGACCATTTTAAATAAAACAAAGTTCCCTAGTGTGAGGAGAAAGCCTTGCATTATATTCCAAATACCAATGGTAGAACAACAGAATCACGTGTGGGTGTTTTAGAAAGTGTGCCAACACCAACGACTATGTCACTCTTAGAGCCCTGACCTCATGTTTCTTTGCAATTGATCTCCGCCAACCTATTTAGGCAGGCACTTACTTTGTTTACTGAATAGCTCCAACTTTCAGAACAACTTTTGACATAAAGTGGGTCCTCATTAAATATTTGGTTAAATTAATATTAGATTCCTTAGTTATTTCATCTATAAATGTCAGAATTTTCACCACAACAACCTGTGACTGAATTGTAAATTAATCACTTTTTGATACTTTTTGCAATTACTGCTTTAAAAGTCAAGATGTTCTCTGATTGAAGAGGGGAAACCATAGAGATGTATGGAAGAATTTATTTCTGGCCCACAATCGCCCGATCATGTATTACTTTAGAGCGTTTCCTAAAAAATCCCAAAGATCCTCAGATGTCCAAAGAAAGAGAGAAGGGACCTTTCTAAAACCATTTAAAAAAAAAGCAGAGGATGAAACTGAGTCCCTGGATTTCCTCCCTACCCGCTCTAGTACAAGGATCAGGAGACTTTTTTGAGCAACAATCCAGTTTTGGCACAGATAGGCATAGCTTTGGATAGTCAATCTCCATTTCATCATGTGTGAAATGTGGAAGATAACATTTTATAAACTTTGCAGTTCCGTACCATTATCAGGGTGGAAGCAGCTATAACATTAAAATATTAAAAAAAATTAATATGCACCCTTAATTTACAGCCACGTCAATAACTCGACCATAGCATAGTCTACTGTAGTGAAATAGTCAAGTAATGGCAAGCCAAAAGCCCTCTCTAAAAACCTACTTATACCCATGAAAAACTAAAAATTTCTACCACTTCATAGTCTTTCAAATAGTGGTTCCCATGTCAAGAACAACAGAAGTCTTAAAAATATTCATTCCATCATTTATATCTGTTTTGTACTGCATACAGGAAATCAGTACTAGAGCTTAATTAGAACTGGAAATTAATATAAAGACAGGTTGACGACTGACCATCCTCGCGGAAGCAGGAGCTGAGGAACCTCTGAGTGGTAAGCTTCGCGCTATTTAGGCAGCCAGAAGAAAAAAGATCATCTAAAAAACCCCTAAAGGCTAAAATCGGAGGTACCAAAGGCTCAGAGAATGCAGGCACAGACTGTAAGTGATCCAGCCCCGAACGCGGAAGCCACCAGCTGCAAAACCTTTGTGGCCTCCCCTCTCCCAAGCAGGCACCATTCTCCCCCGTGCCCGAGGGCTGCACTGGAAAAACAGTTCTTAACTGATTTCGTCTGGGCTTATCTTAGGTCAGATTTTTTAAACTGGATCTCGCAGTGACCTTTTCCCTTCCTCACTGCCAATTTGATACGGTCTGTTTTTCACTCGCAGCGATGAGCTTCCTCCGGGCGAGGCTGTGCCTTCCCGGCCACCAGTCTGACGTTCAGGTAGGGACACTGCGGAGTTCTAGCTGTGAGGTCTCTGGGAGGTACTTTTGTCCTGAGCAAGTATAGACCCTGGATCCTCCGAGAAAAGGTCGGCATTGTCCCTTCGGAGTTCTCTTTTCTCACGGTAGCCTGGCAACCAAACTGCGTCTCTTTGATGGAGGGCGTTCCTACTAGAAAACAGCTTTATGAAAAGTGTCAGGGTCATCTTTAGAAACCCAAAGAAAACAAAACAAAACCCCCCAAAAAAGCCTACCACCAAGAAGGCAAAGAGGGGGGGGGAAAAAAAAAAGAAACGCCGCGCACAACTCAATTATTCAGCTGCACACAACTGCGCCTGACAGGCCCTGCTAACAACACTCTCTTGAATTTAATTAAGTTTGTCCCCGCAGCCTGTGAACTGCTGGGCCAGACCTGCAGCAGTGGGATGAAAAGCTTGGAGGCCGACCCCGCGAGGCCATTGTTGATAAGCAAGGGCACGGCGCTCTGAGGTTAGGTAAATTCCCAGCCCCTCGCACATAAAGTGCCCTGGGGGATAACCTTTTGAAGGGAGCCTGAGAAGTTGGGTGGCCTGAGGGCAAAGACCGATGAGAACTGTTCCCACCAGCAACATGTCCGCCCTTTCTGGAGGCCTCGTGCTGAGGGGTAAAATGCCTGGCCTTTGGAACTGGGAAGTCAAACAATTAAATTCAAAGGCCGGCTCTGCCACTCAACTAGCTCCATTCGTTCCTCTATGGGTGTTGGCAAACCTCTCTGGGGCGGTTTCTGCCTTTGGAAGCTAGGAAGGTCAAAACCACCTGGAAGGCTGAGGGAAAATTGGTAAAACGCCTGAGGCTGTTGGCTCTCGGGACTCTTCGTTTCCCTGCCCAAATCCTCTAAGGTGTATTCCCCTTTGCTCTGTAATCCTTTCCAAACTTGGTAACGTAAGGGAGCATCTTCAAGCTACAGGACCGGAAGCACAGGCCTGTAGCCTCCCAGCACCTCACGGATCTGCCTACCTGTGCGTGAGCTTTTCCCCTGGACTGACCTATCTTTTCCAGTGGTTCGTCAAGATCCCATTCTAGTATCCCCAAAAGTCTGGTCTTTTTTTTTTTTTTTTTTGAGAAAGAGAGAAAGAATGAGAGAAAGCACGAGAGGGAAAAGGGTCAGAGGGCGAAGCAGACTCCCTGCTGAGCAGGGAGCCCGATGCGGGACTCGATCCTGGGACTCCAGGATCATGACCTGAGCCGAAGGCAGTCGCTTAACAAACTGAGCCACCCCGGCGCCCCAAAAGTCTGGTCTTAATTCTGCCAGGGGGTTTCACCATTCCGGCCCGCCAGTTCTCACGGCACTTAGTACGTACGTCTCTCATTTGAAGACCCGTTAAATCGAGTGCTTCTTCCCAAACCCATCAACGATCTTCTCATGGGCATAGTTGGGTACCATTTACTTTTATATTATTCCAATATTTAAGTGAAGTGTTCGATAAATATCTAATTGATGAATGGACAATTTCCAGAACATCTTCATTTGAATCACTTTGAAATGTACATTTAAAATGTACTAGGAAGGATTTTTGGGGGGGGCACCTCCCCCAAATTATCACAGAGAACCTATGTAGAAATCAGTAAACCTAAAGCTTGAAACATGCTGAAGAATACTGGGTAAGAATAAAAGAGTTAGAAAGTGAATAAATACTAATTTCTGAATATATAGACAGTTTAACCAAAGTATGCTGGAAGCCCTGTTCTACTAAGATAAACCCAGTGAAGATACAGGATAGAGTAATTAAAAGACATTTCAGCTATTCAGGTATTTGCTAGCAGTTTCACTCCACTAAAAGAAAAAAAAATCTTTATTTTAGTTTTATTTTGATCAGTTTGATTAAAACTACTTGGACTTGATTAAAAATAATTTGAAATTGTTAATATTATTTTAATTTAAAAGGTTCTTCTCTTTCTGAAAAGTTTATTCCATCATTGAAAAAAGACACAATTAGAATCACAGATTTATAAAATTTTAGAATTCAAAAGTACCTTAAAGATTAGCTAGTCCTCCATCTTATTTTTTACAGGTGAGAAAACTAAGACCCAGACGTGAAGAAACTTGCCCAAGCCTTGCTATTGGAGCCAGACTAGAATTGAGTTCTGTTGTCTCCCCACTAAGATCGCTCTTTCCAGCACATCATTGAAAGGAAGAACCATCTGGTACTATGGAAATAATGGGAGACTTGGAAGAATGTGGACATCTTGCCAGTGTGGACATCTTCCACAATGAATCACCCTGCTTAGACCTAAACCTCTGGGAAGTTTAGGATAAAGGGAATCTCATTTCCTTCACAGTTGACCATAAAAACAAGTCTTCATTATTGTCATTATTCTTCCTACTATTATTAATTTAGTATTTGGCTAGAACTTAGAATTAAATCTTGACTTCTTATCATGGCCATTATGACCTCTGCCTTTCTCCTACAATCCTCCAGCTATGCAAAGTGGGGTCCGTGCACCAATCCCCATCTGTGGAAGTGAGAGTAATAAACTGGTACAGCTCGTTAGCATTGCCACAACATTGACATGTATGATTGGTGGGCATATCTTATTAAACAGGTTATATTGTTTGCCTACAGACCCACTTTCAATGAATGTGCAACAGCCTTTGTAATTCGTTTTTTTCCCTGTCATGTTTGTTCTGATGTTACTTATTAAAATATAATTTTATTCTGCTGAATCTAAGAAATATGGGCCTGTACTGTGTATGTGATTTTCTTCATTTCATTTGTATGGCAATTTTGGGGTTTTGTAGAGGAACTGGGAATAAAACAAAATTGTTCTTCACCACAGATAGTTTGAGAAACTGTTCTAGAGACTTGCCCCTCATGCAGGCTCTAGCTCTCTTTCCTCCCCTCATGCCCCAACTCTTCCAGCCAGACAAGCTCTCTCTGCCTCTGCACTTAGAACTCCCTTTACTCTGAATGCCCTGCCCACAGGTCTCACAGGCATCTCCTTCTTCCACTCCTATCCCACTAAATGTGACCACCTCAGGTGGTCCTTGCCCACCAAGGACCTTCCTTGCCCATCCTGAGCAGCATGGCCCTTCTAATGGTCCTTCATGTTTACTCGATTAATGTTTAGCCTAGCTCTTACCATTATCTAAACTTCTCTTGCTTCTTTGTTTCTTAACTTGTTTATCATCTACAGGGATTTTATCTCGTTCACTATTATCTCCCTGATGCCGAGGATGGTACTTGGCATATGTTGTCACTGGACCAATATTTGTGGGATGTTACAGAAGGAAGCTCAGGGGGTTGTTTCAGGCCCCTTACAAAAATTACATTATTCTCATCCATTGCCACGGGCTTAAAAAGTAGCTATTATTATCCCCACTAACTGCTGAGGTATCTGACATTCAGAGCAATTAAGAAACCTAAGGTGACATGGTTATGGCCATGTTTATGATTCCTAAGCTTTTCAGTAAGGTAGGTACAAACCTCTTTCAAACACTGATATCTGTAGTAAGGTTTGAACATTAGAAGATAAGAGGTATTATTCAAGTATTTTGGAATATTCTCTGCTTCTGATATAGACAGCGGAGAGGTGTGTGACTCGTTTTAACCTGAAAACAGGAAAATGTTTGCTACTATCCATGACTGATTTTATCTCATGAGGGTTGCTAGATTCAGCAAATAAACCTACAGGATTCCCAGTCAAATTTGAATTTCAGAAAAACAATAAAGAATTTTTTGGTATGTGAGACATACTAGAAAATTATTTGTTGCTTATCTGAAATTCAAATTTAACTGGGCATCCTTTATTTTGTCTGGCAACAGTAATTTAGGGGTAAAAACAATAATGTTAGTCACAAAAATCAGTGGTCGTTCCACACACACACACACACACACACACACACACACACACACACCCCAAAGTTAAAATATAGGTAAGGACATGTGGCAATAATAAGCAAATTTCTTTCAAAAAGATTTCTAGAAAGTTTCAAACACACCTCTGAAGTGCATTCCTAACAGGGCTCGGAGCACAGACAGACGTGGGTGGGATTATTTGCCAGAAATGAAACAAGTGTTTGTTTCAATGTGACAGATTTAAAAGGAACTAGGATAATTCATTATTTAAAAAGAAACAACTAAGGAGTGATTTGCTAACAGTAAATGAATATATGAGAATGATTATATAATAGTTATCAGCTGCTTTGAATTTTCACTGAGGTCAGAATCAGAAATGACTGAAGCTAGAGCATGAGGCATTTAATTTGTTTTGGATGTAGTATCTTACCGAGAGTAAAGTTTCTAAAAGTTTGTGTGTGGCATCCTTTGATAAAAAACACTCAATCTGGCTTCAGTCAGTTCCTTTGACAAGCCAAGACTGGTTTCAGCTGTAGGCCAAAGGCACTGTGTCAGGGGCACCAAATGAAGAAAGACTGATTTGGATCTCATAGATGTAAGGAAATAAAAATGTCACCATACTCAAGATCAGGCTGCTAGGGTTTATTGTAGACTTTTCTAACTGAGCGTGAACACTGGTGTATCAAGTTGGCACAGGGCCTGCAGTGAGCTACTTTCGGGAAATGTTGTGTATCATAAGCCGATATAAGAGTCATGACACACATTTACAGGCCACAGAGAGGAAAGATCCTGATTATCTGGAGTTTGCCAACTTTACAAAATCAAGGAAAAGCCTCTCCTGTCATAGGTTTTTGTTGTTGTTTTTTTTTCTGACAGAGAGAGACCCAGCGAGAGAGGGAACACAAGCGGGGAGAGTGGGAGAGGGAGAAGCAGGCTTCCTGCGGAGCAGGGAGCCCGATGCGGGGCTCGATCCCAGGACCCTGAGATCATGACCTGAGCCGAAGGCAGACGCTTAACGATGAGCCACCCAGGTGCCCCTCCTGTCACAGTTTTTAAAGAAATACCTATTGACAGGTCTCAGAAGAGTGGTATTTTTCCTGACAAAACTTTGGAGCCTCTGTGTATCTGAATTTTGTATGAAGGCTTGAATGCATCCCCTGCTCCAATCTCTGAAGAAGCACCTGGCTGCAATACATGCCAAAAACCAGTCCTGCTGTCATGAGGGCTGAGATTGTGTGTCTCTGCACTGGCCAATGGCTGCTGGACCATGGATGTTCCAGAGTCCTAACTTAACATCAAGATGTGAGCAGTGGCCACAGCCACCAAGCGGCCTTAACCACCAAAATCCACAGGGCTATCCTTTAGGAGTCTAATGTACCAACACAGACAACCCTCCGGGGTATCTAGAAACAACCATCACCTCCAGTGATGGCTGAGCCCAGTTTAGATGGTTTCTGACTCTGAAATAAAAGGAAATTCCAGCTTACCTCTAATGCCTTTCTTAAATGTGCTTACCTTATTTCCCAACAACCCCTTAAAAGCTGTTTGGTTTTTGGGTGACTGTGGTTCAGTCTGCCTTTGGCTCAGGTCATGATCCCAGGGTCCTGGGATTGAGCCCCACATCAAGCCCCACATCAGGCTCCCACCTCTGCTTGTGCCCTCTCTCTCTCAAATAAATAAAATCTTTGCTAATAAAATATATTGATATTCTAGGAAAAATACATATATAAGTGGGAAAAATGGCCCATTATTCATACTGAACATATGACCAACATCAACATTATTAACTGAAATTGTTGGGACCCTTCATGCCAGGCCAGTGATGAAATATTGCTCTTGTGCTTAGACCTCAGGAATGCATAATCCTGCCTCAGTGTACCCATCCAACCTTATTTCTCACTGCTGACTAATAAGAACTTTGTGATCAAGGTATGCTGACAGCCCCAGCCCTCATGTGTGCACATCACACACACACACACACACACACACACACACACACACACACACACACACACACGAAGCTCTTCCCATTTTTGTACCTTAGTTCAAGCACTTTCCTTGCCAAGAATTTCCTCCCTTCTCTTGCCCATATATCCATAGACCACCTACCCTCCCAGGGCCTACTCAAGGCTTTCCCTCAAAGCCCAGGGCCTCAATGGCTTTTACTTCCTTAAGTTTCTTTTTAATCCCTGCAGAACTATTAGCCCCTAGTATATCATCTTGCCCTCTTGTTGCCCACACATAATTCACCACTTCACTACATCAATATAAATTTATATAATGTCATCTCATTGCTGAGTTGTTTATGCATATCACTTATTCTAGTATATTGAAATATTAAATATCTCATAGCTCTTTTATAACCTACAGTATCTATTATAAAATTGCCTGTTTCCTGATAATGAGTGAATTACATGAAAATTACTATGTGGGGCCTATTTGACTTTTTAAAAAATTAATATCCATAAAGTGTGAGATTTCTAAATGCTTTATTATCAGGAGATCAGGTGAAGGAAATGGAAAATGATTATGTAAAGGGTACTCTGGTTGATATTTTCCTTATATTATCAAATTTAATTCCTAAAATATACTATGAAGGGTATTATCATCCTTGCTTTTATGGATATGGAAATTAAGACTTGGACACATTAAATAATATATTCAGGGATATATACATACAACATATATATTTAGAGAGAGAGAGAGAGAGACACTGAGAGGGAGATAGGACAGAGAGAAAAGAATTTGAACTGATGCCTGTTTGACCTTTTTGGAATCTATGACAAATGTAAATTTATCTATTTTCCCTAAGTCTATTGTGACATGTCTATTATGTTCACAACCTTTGTCTGAGAATGAGGGGAAATTTCTTTATTTAAAAAAAAAGGACATCAGAGTTCTGTTTTTTCAGTAGCACTCTAATGTTATTCAGTCTGCCTATGCATTTATACTTGGAATAACTACTCAAACACTGGATCATTGCTAGAATGATTAGCTGTTACTAAGCAAGTTCTATAGTAAAACAGATCAATTTTATAGTTAAAACTTCCTTAAATTTGGGTAACTACAGCACCTAACTTATTAGGTTATTGTGGGAGCGATAAGCTAATACACATAAAATATATGGCATATCCTAACCAGCACTAAACAAAAATTAACTGCTCTTACTATTATTATGTTGTTATTATTGCCAATCCATTTTCAACAAAGTTGATACTTTATTCAACAGTAAATTGTGTTCCATTCTCCATATATACCATTCTGGATCAGGATCTGAGATATTAGAAATTCTTCTCTGCAGGTTGCCTGATTTTCCTAATGAATTTGATTCCATATATTTTAGTATACAAGGAAGGCAAACTCCAAAGCGTGAGCTCTTTTCCTCAATTCTGCTCTGCCCCGGAAAGCTCCAATGAGGACAAGTGGAAAGTGCTTCAGACACTCTTAAAAACATTCGGTGGAGCTGAAGGGACACAAATGGAGCAGAACCACGGTTCCACCGATCTCATTTCTAATCTCTTATTCTGCTTCCAAGCCTCACACTTACGGAAACAAAATGCACTTGCTTTCTAAGGTGTCTTTTCTCTAAAAAGGAAATCTATAGGTGTGAAAAAGCACATCATCTTTAAAATACTTTCCTTTCTGAATTTCAAAATAGGATTTGAAGTATAAATAAGCAAGTGTTAGACTTTAAA